GCGGGCGCCGGCGCGACCGGCTTCGAGGCCGCCGCGGTGACCGCGAAGGTCCGGGCCTCCCTCCGCATTTGTCGGAAAATGGGCAGGTCGATCAAGTAGGCGGTGTAGGGGCTCGGGACCAGGACCGGGTCGCCGTGGGCCTCCACCAGCTCCAGGACCTCCTTGGGGTGGGCCCCCCACAGCTGCACGAAGCCCTCGAGCTGTCGTAGACGCCGCTCGAGGTCCTCGGTGCGGGGGCCGCTGTCGGGCCGGGCGCGCCCCCCTGGCAGGCCCGAGAAGGTCACTCGGTTCATCCGAAGGACGCGGGACTGCAGGGTGCCGACCTGGTCCTGCAGATCGCGCAGGAGGACGGTCTGCTCCGCCGTGTGGTCTAGAAGGTGCTGCAGGATGGCCTTGAGGCTCCGCGGCTGGACGGTGAGGTGGCCCTCAAAGAGCTTGCCGTCGTCCACGAAGTGGATTCGCCGGGAGGTCCGGGGGGCCGCGCCCGCGTCTGGGCCCACCGCAATCGGCGCGTGCGGGGGGGAGAGATCGTCACGGGAGAATTGGACATTCACGGTCTTCGGACGGGTTGAGTCACCGCCCTCCTCCGGAGATCCCTCACTCATCCACGCAACACCCCGTTGAGAAGTCTGGAGACTTTGTGCTAATGAAAAGGCGTTTTGGGGGTGATGGTAATAATAGTAGTAATAGTTATGTACTTATGTATTCCTATTGTACTTCTCAACGATATTGTTTTACGTTGCTTTTCAACAAAATGGCTAAGACCTCTTAGCTCAGGCACAGTGAAGGAAAAGCTAGGTGAAAAGAAAAGAGATAAAAAATAACATACAGGTGGAATTTGCTTGAAAATCTATTGAAGTTAGACATAGAGAATTAATAATAATAATAACAATGTAACAACATAAACAATGAAAAAGAACAATGTTTTCAACTCATTACGTATATAAGGCAGCGAGCTTTCTTCCTCAAATCCCAAGATTGATGTTGCTAGCTTTTGTGAGTTGAGCTAGGACAAAGAGCTCCTAATCAGTTTTGCAGACATATGAACCTCAATTTACTAAAGCTGAGTTTGGTTCTTGTTCGCAGAACACTAAATTGGGCTTATCCGATCCTTGAATTAACCTTGATTCCCTGTAGCAAAAGGAGACAGTCTTTTGTGAAAACAAGTTCGTGACTTCATCATACGTCACTTGCGCCACTGTGGAAAAGATAGCACCACATATCGAATGCGATACATCGTTGATGGAGCTACAGTGCCCATTTTGGATGAATTCCTACCGAAGCACGCTATACTTCAGGGTGGAATAGCAACATATTTAAAATATGATGTACATATATGGGTGGGCAAATAACGATACAAAACAGTCTATTGTGTCCCCGACATCTAAGCACAGGGAAGAGTACTGTGAAGTACTATTTAATAAGAGAAGGCTTTTAAAAAATAATAAAAGAGGATAATATTAAACCGAAATTCAGTAGTGAAACTTCAGCTTAAGCCATATAATATACTAGATGGCGAAATATAAAGAAATGGGTAAACTTATCAACATGCAACTCGCAAGAATGTATTTTCATTTTTTTCTCTCAAAAACATGTAAAATGTGAATATATTTTTGAAGTTAAAATTGAGGAAATTGATGTGTTCATAAATAAAGACCACAGGAAAGGGGAAAAAGTCTATGGAAACATCTTGTCAGCTGCCAGGATTAGGTTACGAAAAAAAGATACACATCTCGTTGAACCAAATCTTTGCAGAACGTATGCAGTTTACATGACTTTTTGTGGGGAAATAAAAGCGGAAAAAAAATTATAATCTCTCCTGATTCATTACCACTCTAAACCTAAATGTTTAGTCAGTTAGAAGACTAATATATTCAACAGAAAAAATGTAGGTAAACACCATAGCATCATCAAAAGGAATCTCTTTTTCATAGATATCTAAAGATAAAATGGCAAAGAATAATAGATGATACTATATTTCATATTTGGAGTAATAAAATTCCACTCTTGTGGAGAAGAGATTAGCAAATTTTTGGGGGGTTCAGCCCGCGGTCGAAAGCAGCAGAAAAGAATCTACTTTTTTGGGAGGAATAAGTGTGTGAAAAAGAAAAGCAATCCATCAACTCAAACTAAAAAAAAAGGATAAAAATGCAGACCGTTGTTACGTTAATATACCTTCTCTCCATTCCTTTTACACATTGCAGTCACCTTTGCATTGTGCAGTTATGAGTATTTATGAATAGAATACCCTCTTTTAGAATAGCATTCCATTATATAAAAAACTTAGTGGCACCTTAAAATCTAAAAAAAGGACAAGTAAAATGAAAAAAAATAAAGCTTTTCTATCTCAATAGTGCATTCATCATGCGTGTCTGGTGTATAATTTAGCATATATGTGGTCTCGATGCAGACGAAACGGAAAGGGGTTCGTTTAAAGATGGTGTAAGGGGTGTTATGGTATGATTTTGGCTGAGTAAAGTCGTTATCCCTCGATCTCCATTACGACTAAAAAATGGATTGCGCTGCGTCATTGAAGTTTGGTGTACATCTGGCAAGGAGTCCTCAGGGTGAGGGTTCGGAGACATGCTCTGCGGTGCATGATTACGACCAAAATCTCTATTCGGACTCCAATTACGAGAAGATATGTTTTGCTCATCCTCACGTCCATATTCTGAATCACCATAATTCTCAAACAACATTATAGGATTAACCGCGGACAACGGGTCGAACTCGGAACGAGACTCGTTCCTAGTATGTGAATACTCATTCACTGATGAATTTGACTGCCTCATAGTGTAAGCAGTTGATAAATGATCTCCAACACAGGGAGAAGTAAAGATATCATGTACAGTGATCTCACGTGGAGTGCTCACTGCCCGAGACGTCTGAAATGTGGAGGATGAAGAAAAGCGCTGAGATCCAAGGCTGATGTTTCCCTCCACAGTCATAATCATCTCATTAAGCGGAAGAGTGATAAAAGGGACTGTTGCTATTTCATCAGCAACACTTACACTACAATCACTTGCAGATTCGTTCTTGGATCCTCGCCAGAGAGGATTTGAGGACATCAGCTGCGCCGGTGCCGGATTTGGATATTTACCCACGTCATCGTTGCACTCATACTCCGCATCATAGGAAAGCAAAGACTGACGAAGCTTCCCAAAATGCCCTAACGGTTTGAAGTGCTGTTCTATTGGCAAAAAGCGCGGAAAAAAATTCCCACCGGCTGTTTCCCTGCATTCAACCGGATTCACTGTCGAGCTGCAGAGGTCAGGGGTGAGGAAGCTCATTTCCCCCTGGGATCTCTCGTCCGCCCCTTCTGTGAAGATACTTAGACCGCTAACGCCGCCCTCCCCCACGGCCCCCATCCGATTCAGCGTCGCGGATTCGGGCGTCGAGGGTGGGGCCTGGGGGACCACCTCGTAGCCCAGCTCACTCGCCACCCGCGCGAAGTTCTCCCCACAGCGCAGGGTGAGCTCGCGAAAGGTCTCCAACTCCTGGCTTCGCCATAAGGGAGACTTGGCCTCGCGCAAAGGGGAGCCGGACGTCGCCAGCCACTCCGAGGGCCCCGTCGAGGCCGGCACCATCTCGAGCTCGCCTTGTTGGGGGTTGAGGAGAAACCCCACCTTGCGGATGGGCTTGCCCTTCCCAGGGAGGGAGGGGGGGGAAAGGAGGGTCAGGGAAGAACGGAGCGCGGAAGGCTGGGTCTCGTCGGGGTTCCGCAAGGCCTCATCCCGCCCTGTTGGGACGCTTTTCGAGATACTCGGCGGAACCGAAGTCCCCTCCATGGGCTCTAAGTAGGTAGAGTGATGATCAAATTCAACTTTCCTCCCCGTAGATTGCTTTTACCTTGGGTGCGCCTAAATGGATTATATATATATATATAGTATTTCCCGAGATACTTCCTATGAGAGATTAGTACACAAAAGTGTCTGTATTTCCTTCAGTTTTTGCACCTCCAAACTTACAGTTTGTAACCATGATATTAAAATACGTCTAACCCCCTAAGAAAAAAAAAGTAAAAAAATTTTACCCTCTTGGATAAAAGGGAGAAAAAAGTATTTAATCGCGACAAAAGATTTGATACATTCCTGTGACTATTAGACTGTAAACAATGTAAATAGTACTTGAAAATGCTACTAACGAAAACGAGATAATCTACTTCATCTCGCGTGTTTGTGCATCCCTATTGACCACCATCGTCCCTTTTCTGCTGTTCCGAGACTCATATGATACAAAATATAATATATATATATATATATATATATCGAC